TATTACTTTTAATATATTTATACAAATATTATATTTATTTTATTTTACTATATATTTATTTTTTTATATATATGCAATATTTTCATATATATGCATATATGTGTGTATATACATATATACACATACATACAAAAAACAAAGCTATGTAATGTGTAATTCTTGTAAAAGTAGACATCACATTTCAACAACTGCCGAGTTTATAATTTTTTAATATTATATACTATAAAATATTTTTATATTTTATGCTGAAGTTTATATTTGTAGTATATGATATCAAATATTTGCAATTTTTTTCTGATTTTTTCAGCTTTGTCAATGATTAATGGACATTTAAAAAACAAAAACAAACATTATATACAGTATTTTTTTTTTTTTAGTATTTTTTATAATGTATTTTCCATTAACAAAGCTGCAAATAGGAGTGCTAATGATTCGCTTTCTCCAGGTTTATCCTCCTTGATGAAAACACAAAAATATTCTTCAGTTCAGTGGTGCTGGTATTTAGCTCCTTGTTTTCACACAGCCAATTTAAATTCTCAGCTCTCATTTTCTCCTTGAGTAATTAAAGAATGCAGATCAGAAATCATTTGCATAAAATGAGGAGCCATCATGGAGTGTCGTGGCTGTTTTGGTTCAGTCTTTTTCAGGCTGTTTTAAAAGCAGGGCTGCACATTTTAGGAGCCTTTTACAGTGAGGTCTCTTAGGATTAGTTCTTCCTGCCAAACCCATCTTCATTTAGTTCTAGCCTGAACTGTATTCACGTGCTAATTCCTCCTCCCAAGGGCGCTTGCTAACCAGGTCAGTGTTGTTGGGACTCTTATATCAGTCTTGTTCTGAGACTAGCGGTGCGAGCCGACACTCCTCGCTTCACGTGTTTATTATATCCATTTTATATTTCCGCTCTGATCCATCGAGGTCTGCTGACTTTGTTTATAAGCCAGCTCTGTTTGAAAGTAGTCTATCCATTCTCTGAATATTACATTTAGATTACAGCGCTCACAGATTTGAAAAATGTGTGCAGCACTGATAGTAAATACTTTTTGCCATTTGCAGATAGAAAATGTTTCCTTTCCTCTCTATTTTTAGGAATTCCTATTTTAAGATAGAAATGTCTTTATTGACTGTTCAAACGCACAAAAAAAAACAAAAAAAAACATAATTTCTGCCCTAGATTTACATTGCTCTACATTTACATTGCATTTCAGTAATCAAGGATTGTGACTTTATACATGCTCTGGTAAATGATGCATCAGTGCATGTTATTCAGATCGAATCATTACAATGTAATAACTTTAATACTACACCTAAGCTCAGTTTCACAAAGAAATATATTGAATTGCAGAATAAAAAGTTAAAGTGCATTGCAAATCGTGTTTCATATTTAGAATAAAGTCAGTATGAAATCAAAATTGACCATATTTACTTATAATATAAATGTTCTTGGTCTTGTGCACGATTCATCAGGGCATGTTTTTCAAAGGAAAAATGTTTTTCATTATGTTTTATCAAAATATAACACATTACAGTACCTTCTGTTTTATTGGGAAATATGTCATGATAATTAAGCTTTATTTTTTAAGTGGTGAACAACAGGGATATTTTCTACTGCAGTTTGTTTTTGAAAGACTTTATTAATGAAAGTGATGCATTTAGCCAGAGCTCAGTGGAAACTGTCCACTGATCCAAATGAGTGAAGGAGGTTTTCCGTCACCTCTCTTATAGGCCGATATGTTTTAGCCTCGAGGACCCCAGCCAAAATATTAATCTCACTTCACTTCATCATATCTCATTTCATCTCTCTCACTAACCAAGAAATCTAAAAGGAAATTTAATTTGTCTGAAAAAAATCCCTCTGTGCATTTATATTCACCTGTCCATAAAATGGATAAATTTCAGAGACAGTGGACAGTGTGTGATCTTGTTTTAAGGGTCAATTTCATGAGGCCTGTCAAAAATATTACATATTTACAGTCAAAATAAGAATTTTTTCATGAATCATAAAATATGTTGTTTCCAGATCTAAATGTGAGTTTGATTGTTGTTGATGTAAAAACAAATATTGCAGTAATCAGAATAACCATTAAAAATAATTGGAATTATTAATATTATTAATAATAATAAAGTCCCTTTAAGGCAAGTCATGTCCCTCGGCGGCCATCTTTGAAACGCCTCTCGGGCATGCAAGTGCAGCTCCTATCTCTTTGAATGGTGGAACATCAAATTCTCCAAAACCGTTCGCCAAGCTTAAGATTAAGTTTAATATTTGAAATCACCAATGATATCTGACAACAACAGTCTCATAAATATTGTTTCTTTTGCTCAAATAGCGATAAAAAAAGCTTATTTTTCAGGCTATACCAGCCAGTGCGCATGCGCAGTCCTGACTGTTTCTATAGCAACCAGGACTTAAATTGGCAGCTGCAGTAACGCGCTGACTTTACCGATTAGCGATTGGCTCTTTTACTTAGTAGGCGGGGCTTCGTTCAATAGAACAATTTGGAGTAGACGTCACAGTTACGTCACTTGCAGCTGCGCGCGCATTGTGGTGGCAGAAAAACACTGGGAACAAGTGGAGGGAAACGGGTAAAATCCATGGAATAAGAGGAAAAAATGTATTGTTGTGCCTTTGGATGTCAGAATCGGAATGCAAATAATTTGTATATAATACTGTCGTCAAAGATGCCATTTGAAGCTAAACGCAGACGTTTAAACGGACAAACTATGAATGAAACCTGCTATGATTACCGTACTTTAAAGCATAAATTAGATTTAAACAATAGGTCTATATAATATTCACATAGGGGACATATTGTATTAGCCCTACAGTTAAAGCATGAAATACTATTTAAACCTATAACATTTTACATAACATTTACATAACATGTCAATTCTGAGGAAAAAAAGCCAGAAGTGTGGGATTATAAACTTGTGATTCTGAGCCGCGGGAAAAAGAGAGAATGACGAGTTGATTTTTTCTTACCAGAATTACCAGATATAATCTTGGAATTTAAAGAAAAAATCAGAATTTTGAAATTTAAACTCAATTTCCTTTTTTATTCCGTGGCTTGCATAGACTGCTACGTTAAAGGGGTCATATGATGCGATTTCAATTTTTCCTTTCTCTTTGGAGTGTTACAAGCTCTTGGTGCATAAAGAATATCTGTAAAGTTGCAAATCCAAAGTTCTTTTTAGCAGCATCATATGACCCCTTTAAAACGGGCATTTTCTGCCACCAGATAGGCTCCGCCCCCCAAAAACATCATCACTGTTTGCAAACACTGAAATTAGTCTATAGTGCGGCCAGATTGAGCGTTGCATTTTTCCCCATTCAAAACTATACGAGTGACACGTCTTGGGTATTTTAGTCTTTGATAATAATTGCCATTTCCTTTATTATTAATGGAGATTCTGATCACTGTAATTTAGTATTTTTAATTTTATAAACAGGTTTACAGGTCTTATTTTCTGTTTAAAAAAGAATGTTGACATTAAACACTACTTTTTTTTTTTTTTTTACGTTTTACAACTTTTATTATTATTATTATTAGTATAAAAAAGTGTCCATGTCACATTTTACCCCAAAATCAAAAGAAAAAAAAGGGATATATATAGCGATATATATAATTTTAATTTAACACTAATTATATATATATATTATATATTGTATATTATATTTAATAAAATTATATAATTTTGATATCAACATATTTTTAAGACCTGTAAACCTGATTAGTAGTGAATCAGTGCTGGATGTTCAAGTTGGATGGTTAGTTGCTATAAAATCGATTTGGAACAAACAGGCCTATAAAACACCCAAATAAATACAAGTTAGTCCTCAGTTTAGTGTTTCTTTGACACTGAAGGATGGTCTGAGCATTACAGAAGGGACGAGTAACCCTTCATAAGCCCAACAGGAAAGATTTGATCAATACTCTGTTTGACCATCCTCGTCTCCTCCTCTATTAACCAGCTAGATTTAAGCTCCACGGCTGTTCTTCTAGGTGTCTATGTGCGTTTATTAACCTCTGACGTCTCTGAAAACTCACTTTTATCGTTCATGGTCCAGCGAGCTCTGAAGCTATCGTACTAAAGCTGAACTAATAATCGCTATTACATTTAAACACTTGAGCAACATTAAAGCGTCTGAGGTGATCTTTGAGATGATCTACTGTAATATGAGAAATCAGGGTCAGTAATGGTCATCAGTGTAACCTCATCTCTTTGAGGTTTTAATCTGCCCATAATTTAGCAGAAATCATGTTTGGATACTGATAGTCTGAAGTGTCATGAGTGGTCTCTCTGTGCTGGACACCGCAGGCTTTTACAGCGTTATATGGATGATATATTAGCTCAAGGTTACGTGTGTGTGTCTGTGTGTGTGTGTATCAGGGATTATACTCTGACTGAGATATCGTAAATGAGCTGTGCTGGCACTGTTTGTTTGGCTCCATTAGGCACAAGGCATTATAAGTGTTGTGTGTGTATCAGGGATTATACTCTGACTGAGATATTGTAAATGAGCTGTGCTGGCACTGTTTGTTTGGCTCCATTAGGCACAAGGCATTATAAGTGTGTGCAGTTATTTATAGATAAAGGAGTCGATATGTGCTGCCATTTCTAACGTTCCTCTCTGTATTTCTGTTTTTCTTCTGCAGACAGCACTGCTGTGGACACCGAGGTCTTCTTGTGTTTTCTATACTTAAATAATTTTTCACCAGTTTCTGTCTGTGTTTGTTCATCTTTGAATGTATATGAAATATGCTGCATGTTTTTTTCAGTGTTCTCATTTAATTGCTTGGTGGTGATGTTAATGAGCATTATACAGAGAGACAGATAGACAAATAGACATATGGATAGACAGATAGATGTGTAGAGGACTAGTAGATGGATAGATAGACAGATAGACAAACAGATGGGTAGACATACAGATAGACAGACAGATAGATAGATAGATAGATAGATAGATAGATAGATAGATAGATAGATAGATAGATAGATGGATGGATAGATGGATGGATGGATGGATAGGTAGATTTGTACTGTACTGATCTTATTTTTTTATTATGTATTTTGTCTGTATTCATACTTGTTTGTCATTGTTTATGTGTTTCTTTTTTGTGACTGTGTGTGTGTTGTATATTTACTGTACAGGTAAACGATATACAGTAAGTACAGTGTCTTATTGATCTGTGTAAGTCATCAGCAGGCTGTTTTCTTGTTTGACAGGGTTGTGCTAACATCCTGGACCCAGCCAAACTGGGGCTGAGCGGCGGAGGGTGAGTACAGACACACTCAACACCAAACACACACAGGAAATAAAGGAAGAGAGCTAAACACCATTATACACAGGAGAGAGTGTGTAGAGTTACACTCTTACAGGTGCTGGCAGGAGAGCAGAAATGGCTATGGAATGTTATTTGTGGATTTTCCAGGGACCTGATCTAGTGTTAATTGTTTGAAATGGTATGACTCCAGATTAATGAATGTAGTGTGGATTAATTTAATTTTTGGTAATGAGCTGTCAAAAATAAATAAATAAACCCGGCACTTTTGGCATTTGTACTTATTAAAGGCCCCGTTCTCATTAAGCGCTGATGATGTCACTGTCTTCCTAACAAACACAAACACATTTCTTTGGGCTCTGCATGAATGAAAAACACCTGTGTTTGTAATGTTCTGACCTGATCTAAACTCTTAGATTGTATATGTGTGTGTGTGTGTGTGTGTGTGTGTGTGTGTGTGTATTTTAGCAAAATTGACCAGCAGTGTTATTTTCCACAGCAACACAAACATTCTGCATGCTGCCTACTATTTAAAAACAAAACTATGTGAAAAAGTATGCATTATGCAACAATAAACATTTCAAACAGTAGAATGCTAAATTGTCATTACATTGCATCCATCTTGATTTTATGTTGAATATAAAGAGTTTGCATTGTAAAAGCAATTTTGTGTTAAATTCTCTGTTTTTGATGGTCCATTTAAATAATAAATCAGTAATAAATCTAAACATTATTTATTTAAACTTATAGGTATCACATTGGAAATTAAATATGTATTTTACATTTTTAATGCAATTGTGTGTACAATTCTCTTAACATTTGGTGATCTGGTCAAATAAAAACTCAATAAGGAGATATTAAATAATCAAAGCATTATTTATTTAAGCATAGAGTATCATACTGTAAATTAAATATTTATTTTATATGTTTAATTCAATTTTGTGTAAAATTTTCTTAACATTTGGTGGTACAATCAAATGAAAACTCAGTAAGGAGTTATTAATAATCTAATTATTAATTATATGAGCATATAGATATTTTGGAAATTAAATATTTATTTTAATATTTTTAATGCAACATTGCTGGCCTAATCAAATAAAAACTCAATAAGGAGATATTAAAAACCCAAGCGTTATTTTATATATATTTTAAAGGTATTTATTAAAATATTTAATTTGCATTTTTAATCCAATCAAATCCATTAAATTCATTGTGTTAAATGCAACCTTTTTTAATCTGCTCAAATAATTAGTGCAGAAGATGATGCTAATAATTTACAGCATTTAGCTAGAAATGAATAATCAATGTGAGCACCTTGCATTGTGGGATACAGCACTCTTATTCTGCTATAGTTGTATGCGGCCCAATGACAAAGTATTCTTCCATGCATGCATGCAGTGGGCCTGAGTGAGACAAGAGCGGTCATGATGGACTTCCTGTTCCTGCTCATCCCATGTTATTTGCCGGTGCTGTAAATCACCCGACTGCTTTTTAGCCGGGTAATGTTTCATAGCGTACAGCATGATTATGGTATTAATGGACTCTAAATCTGCCTCTATCCCCAGGGTTGGCAGTATACTTTACGGCATTGACAGCATGCCAGATTTACGTCGCAAGAGGACCATGCCTATTGTCCGAGACCTGGTGAGTAATCACACCCGGCACGGTTATGTTTGACTGATGGAGCTTTAGAAGACTGTATTAGCCAATCAGACCCACCGTGCACACGGTCACTAGTCCGATTTTACAACCCAACACTATCAGCAGAGCACATGCAAGATGGAGGCGCACACGTGTTTATGTTTTGATGCTATTTTGAGGCTTTTACGCTCCACCAGAGTAAAAGTAGGTCACTCGCCTGGTGTTCTCCACAATATCTGCAGAGTTCAAATCATCTGTCTTGTCTTTAAATGTGTAGTGCTCATATATTGATAATGAAGTGTTGTTTAATTTATAAGATTCTAGATGGTGAATGATTGATCCATAGCACCTATGTAGTATGTGTTTCTTTTTACATTTTTGCATTTGTTAAAGGAACAGTTCACTCAAAAATGAAAATGTGCTGTTAATTTACTCACCCTCAGGCCATCAAAGATGAAGCTGACTTTTTTTTCTTCAGCAGAACAGTAAAGAAGTTTTTTAGCTGAAACCGTGGTCCTTGGTGATTCATAAAATGCAAGTGGCTACTTTCACTTTGAGAGTCAAAAAGCATATCAAGTAACACAAAATTAATACCCATGGCTCCTGATGATATATTGAGGTCTTATGAAGTGAAATGATCAGTCTGTGCAAGAAAATGATTATTTACAGCATTATTACCTGTAATCCAGAGCCTCGTAACAGCGGCTCATCGGTCTTCGGTTTGAGTCAAACTGTTTTCTCAGTTCAGTGACTGTTGGAGGAACTGGAGCGCTGAACGAGTTGATTCATCACAGGATCAGATATGCCGCTATTTTGGCTCATTTTGAGTCGGAGTGACTGTCAGGCGTCTGAAAGTGAGTTTTGGTTGAGTAACTTGTAGATCTGTGCTGCTCGAGCCGCAAACTGTTTCAGATGGTTCAGTCGGATTTAGTGAATTGGTTCAACTAGCTCACTAAAAAGAACCGTTTCAGAAGAATGATTCTTTCGTGAACCGGACATCACTCCAGACTGTTTGACTGAGGCTCTGGATTACAGGTAATAATGTTATAAATAATGTTCCGTTTCTTGCACAGACTGATCATTTCGCTTCATAACACATCAATATATCGTTGTGTTGCCTGGTATGTTTTTTTGACTCTCAAAGTGACGGTAGCCATTGACTTGCATTTTATGAATCACCAAGGACCACAGTTTCAGCTAAATATCTTCTTTACTGTTCCACTGAAGAAACTGTAAAGGGTGATCAAATTAACAGCAATTTAAAATTTTTGGGTGAACTGTTCCTTTAACATTTCGTAGGATTTCTTTTTTTCTTGTTTGAGCTCTTGCAGTCCGTGTCTTTGTGTCCATTGTTTCTTTATGGTTTTGTTAAAGCGAAAGATTCTTAACCGATTCTTGCATTGAGTTTTGTGCAACTGTTCAGCTTCTGAAGGACAAATGTTGATGCTGTATCTGTCCATATTTTGCATGAAATTAAAAACCAACCCTCTTTTGGTAAGTACGGGTCATCGTTCAGTTTTCTTTTGGTTTTTTGGCGTGTCCTGTGGTCCGTTCCCACTTGGGCCCATATTGACTTATGGGCAATATTTTTCCGTGAGTTGTCAGATTTCTCTCCAAAACACTTGTTTTTTGACTCAATCGATGCATTCGAAACCGAAATGTTGACAACTCTACCCAAAAATATATCTGAGGACTTCATTGACTTCTGATTTAACTGTGTGCCTTTTTAAATCCATGTAAAAGTGACCTGCGCCAATGAGCCTTTTACAGCGTGGATGAAGTCAGTGCTGTACTGGGTCAGATCTGGTCTATCCCATCATGCCTCTGTCCCCTGTTTCTGTCCCCTTGTTGGCTGTGTGATTGCTTCAGGGCAACGACAGTCGGTCACGGGAGGGTGGGGAACGAGGGACCTGCCCAAAACTGCAGCGGGGGCTTTATGTCAAAATTCAGATGAATCCATTGCCTGCAGCAACCCTCAGCAATTCAAGTGCATGTTGAGGCTTACATCAACACTTGACGTTCATGTAGAGGTCAAATCTACCCTATTTTCTTATGCACCCCTGCTTTAAGGGGCCGTTAGCAGCCCGCTTGGTCTTTACCACCATCAGGTTCAGGGTCAGATGGTAAAGACGAGTCCAGTATGGTCCGCTGTCCGTGCCTGCCGATCTAAATATGGCTAATCATGGCTTTTTGACTTCTGACCGGCTCCCATTTCCCCCTCATTGACTCTTTCTTGCTGTCTTTCTCTGTCCTGAACTCTTTGGATCGTGTTTTTTGAGCTGGCTTTGACACATGCCGTCTGGTCTTGTCTGTTTGTAGCAGTAATGGCAACAGTATTGCAGGCAGTAGGAATTTGTCAGGGTGCCTTTCAGTTTCTTAACTAATCAATTACACAGCAAATGCATGAGTGAACTGTAAATTTCTCCTGCATGTCAGAGGTGAGTTATTTAAGGATTGAGCCTCACCTCTGCAGCTTTCACTCTGCTCTTTAGACCAAAAACTCGATCTGATTTTATGCATGATGGCAGGTATGACGTAAAAAAATGTGCTTACTGTGTGTAAATTACAGCTCGCCTTTGCAAAATGTCTAATTTTGTGTTTTTTCTGCTTTTTTCTGCATCTGGACACACTAGGCTTTGGTAAGTCTTTTGCATTTTTAATGAATGCATCTGAATCCAGTGTTTGTCTACTTAGATATTTTCATCTAGTCAGTTGAAGCAGCACAGATGTGTACTTATCTGCCTATGGTATTGCACAATCTTATGTGTGGTTTGAGGATTGCTGGAAAGTATAAAAATGACATTGTTTTAGCTGCTAAATATGCTTGAAGTTCACTTTAATTTGTTCTAGCTCATTAGACATGATGTTATGGTGCCATGGAAGCTTGTTTGAAGCTGTTTTCATTAGGTGGTTCCCTTTTAAAATGCTTTTTTTTTTGGGACCCAGCCTTTGTATTAATAATAGTGACAACAGACATTACTGTACTGTACACCTTAGGTTGAATGTTTAGTGTTAAATGGGCATAAATTTGAAGACAATTCATATTTTCATTTCTTGGATGGACAAATAGCATTGCTTGTCCATAAACAAATTTATTTATGCAAACGGTCTTTAAAGCATTTTAAAATTTGTTTGTTTGTTTGATTTTTATTCATATTTTAATTTGTATTAATATTTAATTTTTATGTTTATATATTTTATTTATTATTTTATATATTTATTTATTTATAATTAATTTTATATTATATATATATTTATGCATTCATTAATATTTGTTTTTGAGTTTGCAAGGAACATTTTTCAACATGCAAAAATAATAGCAACATTTTTTTTCATTTTATTTATTTAATACATTTTTATATGATATTTATTTATATTTTATTTTGTATATATTTATTTATTCATGCATTCATTCATTCATTCATATTTGTTTTTCTTATTTTGCAAGGAACATTTTTCAACATGAGAAAATAATAGAGCTTTCATTATTTGATTTAAAAATAAAGACTTTCATAATTTGAACGTCAGCTCTGTTCCAAATCCTAGTGAGCCGTCTACCTACTAGACAGCATTTTTAAGCATTATGTGCACACTTGTGGTGTAAAGGCTGTTCTTAAATGCATGCAGTCTTACTTTGATCAAATTTTAAGACAGCATCCTTCATAGACAATACAATCCTAGAAATGCATGGCAGCAAGCTCAGAAAAACACATTCAGTCCTGTTAAAATGGACTGTGTTAACCATTATTTGCTTTATGTAGACAGCAGCACTAGTTTTGAGACAGACCTATCATTTTTCTTTGCACTCATGAAATGTGAGCAAAGAGCCCTCAGTTAGTCTGTCTTGTTATTGAGAAAGCAAATCTGTCTCCTGAAATCTTTCAAATCACACTAAACCTAATGAAATGAAAGCATATTACACTGCACAGAATACAAGCAACATTTTCTTCTATTGAACATAAAATGAAAAGCTTTCCGAGAGTTGCGTTCAGTAGGGTAATAGGTGAATATCTGCTTGAAAGTGAAAGTGGTTTCCCAGCCTGAGTAATCAAGTTTTATCTTTGCGTCGCACGATAACATTCAGCCTAACATAACCGATTTCTGCCCTATAGCATTTGACTGCGTTCCTGAGCATTGTCTTTCTCTCTGGCTCTTTCTCACTGTTTCCTTTTTTCCTTCCAGACATTGGCTGCTCGAAAGGCAGGCATTGCGTTTGGGCTCGTGAACAGATCGACTCTGAACAACGAGGAGCTGGTGAGTTTTAAACACACATGCGCACAGTGCTTTCACCATATAGACTCGTGCATAAATCACTCTGTAAGCAGCCAGTCAGAGTCTAATGAGAAACGATCATGTGGCACTAATGTAACGCTCATGCATAAAGTCACAACTGATACAGAAACACACATCAGAGCCAGAGGCAAGAACAAATAAACAAGATTTAAAAAGAAGCCTATTTATAATCTCAGTCACTGTCACAAAATAAACCCTGACGAGGTGATCAGGACCACGACCACAGCAGCTACTCACTAAATATATATTTATTTCATAAGTAGTGACTTTATACACAGCTACTTACAAAGTAAATAAATAAATGGGCATGAAATACTGATTTGATTTGAATTATTTTCTGTGCTGGTTGAAAAATGAGTTTCAAGACGATCTTGAATTTTTAAATAAGTCTCTTCTGCGCACCAAGCTGCATTTATTTGATCAAAAATATAGTAAAAATATGAAATATTATTACAAATTCAAATAACTTTTTTTCTATGTGAATATATTGTAAACTGTCATTTATTCCTGTGATGCAAAGCTGAATTTTCAGCATCATTACTCCAGTCTTCAGTGTCACATGATCTTCAGAAATCATTCTAATATGCTGATTTGCTGCTCAAGAAACATTAATTATTATTAGCATTGTTGAAAACAGTTGTGCTGCTTCATATCTTTGTGGAAACTGTGATTTTATACATTTATTTCAGGTTTCTTTGATGAATAGAAAGCACTTATCAGCTTTTAAGCGAGTGACGCTGTTGTATCCACATTAAGATGCTTTCTGATTATTTGGGTGTTGATCGATAATTCCCGTTTCAATTGTATTCTTGTACTTTGATTCGACGGAGGGGCCAAAACCCTGAGAGAGTAAAGAACGGCTTAATCAATAAAAAAAGAATTACTCTTCTTTTTTTACAGACCTTCTTCCCTCCCATTAATTGATCCGCAGAATAAATGGCCCAGAATGACTCGGTGTGATGTGAAATTCATTTCTCTGTTGTGATAGCGAGATGCATGAATTTACCTGAGCTGAAGACTAACTCTGTCCTCAAATTTCGCCTGGGAATTTTCTGCTTATGCGTTTGGGGAGCTTTAATTATAACATGATGTGCGTTCAGGTACAAAATGGACATGCTGAGTAATTCCTATTTCGTTCTCTCTGTTTATATCTACCAACAAAGACAGGAAGTTTTTTGACAACAAAATCACCTGGATGTGCATTAGTAATGGAGGATGTATCTGTTTATTTTATAATAGAGCGCAACTGTCAGGCTCTGGAAGTAAAAATCCCATTCATTTTCTCTATAGGGGAATTGATTTGTAACAATAACCATTATAAACCGTTAAAGAGAGACATAATGTGAGCTATGAGGCTGTAAATCGATAGTGTATGCTTAAGTTATTTTAAAAATAATCAGTGGGAATAATCTTGGTGAAAAACGATATTACCCATTATTTGGCAAAGAAATAACCATCAATCAGAGAGTCGAAACAAGCATGCAACTATTTATATATATGTGCAATAAATGTAAAATATATATCTTTAAAACAATAGTTTTATATTTCTCCATAATTTTTTATTTAATTATGTCATTTGCAGTGCTTTATGGGATTGTAGTTGTTTCCCTAAACAAAGTCCTACAATGTCTTTGTTTTTTTGTCCGATTTTCAAACACTTTTTTGCTTAAAATCAGTGTTTGTAATGTTGTGATTCACTTTGTAGCTTGTTGGTTTGGTTCATGGCTTATAAATTAACAAAGTTTTTTTTTATAATGCCGATGGGAAAAATACTTTCAGAACCAAGACCACTGAAAAACACTCTATAATTATTGTCCTGCAGCTGAGAATGATGCGTAATGTAGTTTAGGCACAAAAGCCTGTTGCCTCATAAAACAGCCGAATAAGTCATATTTTCTAGAAAGCTGGTAGTTCACCAAAAATGCCTCATTTACTCACCTCATGTCTTTCCAAACCGTTCTGACTTTGTTCTGTTGAACACAAAAGAAGATATTTTGAAGAACATCTCAGTGTTTTTCCATCCTTACAATGAAAGTCAGTGGGGTCAAGTGCTGTTTTGGACCCCATTGACTTTAACTGTATGGACGAAAATAGGCTTTCAGGTTTTAAGCCAACATAAGGGTAAGCAACTGATGTCAGAATTGTTATTTTTGGGTGAACTATTCCTTTAAGAGCTGCACAAAGTGCATATATAGATATTGTGGAGTTTTCAGGGAAATAGTTGATACCACGATAATCAATTTCAATGATTTGATTGCATTAACCTGGCAAAATCCAGCCAAAATTGTGGCTGTGACTAGATTTTTCAAACTTGATTTTCACTCCTATCAAGTCTGGAGGAAATCTAGTGATTCCCACTAGTCTTACAGCATTGCAGTAGTGTTATGTTTACAGTACAGTACAGTACAGTCATTGCGGCATGAGTTGAAGGCAGCGTTAGCGAGTGATAAATAGACAGGTCAGAGTCGGGCTCCAGTGGGCCGGTCCAGTCGACCTTAATCCAACACTAGCAGTCCTCTGAAGAATAGCAGCACTGCAATCACTCTTTCAGATGCACCTGTTTCCAAACAGCCTTCGACGGGTCTTAGACTTAAAAAGGAGGAAGGTCAGATATAAAGAGCTGGCCGGCAGATTTCTAAGTAGGCCGAACAGATGTCTGAGAGTTTTTAAATGCATTAAATACACCAGCGAGAGAGCGAAAGAAAGTAAAATATGAGCGAGAGTAAGAAACAAAGTGATGAGGGGGCTGAGGGAGGAATTACAGAAGAGACCCAATCCCTCCGAGAAAAGCATGCCGAAAGCAGCCCATGCGTCCATATGCTTAAGAAAACACCGGAAAACAAGGACAGAAAGTGTTATATCAGTATATCTGTCCTCAACACTCACAGCAAGAGGGAGAAAAATCAACAGAGTGTTTGGATTCGGTCCGTGACATTATTCAGTCAGTTTTCTCCTGAGATAATGTTAGTCAAGGTTTTCTGTGCCAGAAACATTTATAATTTAGTGTTACATGACCAGCATTCTTCATTCTCTTTGACTATTAGTAAAAAACGGGATGGTTTTTGCTGCTGTATGTTTTATGTAAATGGCCTCTTTGCATTTTTTTGGACCCTGCATATGAGTAACAGAATATATCATACTGTATGGCTTGGGTTTTTCATAAAAAAATAAATTATTAACAACAAGTCATAATAAGCTGAAATGTTAAACTATATGCTTGCAATATATTGCAAACCATGCAGCTTTGCAAGTCAAGAGGTCAATCTGTAATGTTTAGATTTGCTAATATTGTAATATATTTTCAAATCTACACATGCATTTGTATGTGTATGAATGGAAGTGAACACACATTAGCACAGTTTACTAGTTATTCTGCATTAAACTCATTTCAAATTTGATTTCTCATTATATGAAGCTTTTAATGACTCAAAAGACCAAATCTGTTCAATATTTTGTGATGGCGACTTGCGTTGTTTCTCTACGTCTAGTAGCTGACATACGCTACTGTTTGAATGTTTGGAGTCGGTAAGATTTTTTAATATTTTTGAAAGTTTATGCTCACCAGAGCTGCATTTATTTGATCAAAAATATTGTAAAAATGTAAAATATTATAACAATTTAAAATAACTTCCTTATATGTGAGTATATTGTAAAATGTAATTTATTCCTGTGATCAAAGCTGAATTTTCAGCATCATTACTCCAGTCTTCAGTGTCACATGATCTTCAGAAATCATTCTAATATGCTGATTTGCTGCTCAAGAAACATTTCTGATTATTATCAATGTTACAGCTGTGCTGCATCATATTTTTGTAGAAACTAATATATTTTTTCCATGATTTGATGAATAGAAAGTTCACATTTATTTATTTGAAATAGAAATCTAACATTATAAATGACCTCACAGTCACCTTTCACCAATTTAATGCATCCTTGCTGAATAAAAGTAGTACTTTCTTTCAAAGAAAACCCTCAGACTTGTGAACAGTAGAGCTCATGATCTGTACAGATGCAGGCAGCAGGTCTTCAGACACATTAATGGTGTGGCATCACGGCATTTCTAGCACCTGCCGTGGCCTCCAACGCAGAAACACATCCAAACCAAAGACGTCTCCGCAGTGGGTCTGGAAGCCGAGAGCTGCAGGCGTGGAGGACGCTTTCAAACATTTAATTGGCTGGTGTTTCTCAAAGGACGAGCAGAGAAATAAAGAGAGGGCTGCTTTTTTCTAACAGTTGAAGTCTTAGTTCATCGAAACATGAAAATCGTATTATTATTTATTCACCTTCAAGTCATTCCAAACTCATATGCTGTCAGTTTTCTTCCTGGTGTACAAAAAAGAAAAGGTTTGGAATGGCATGAGGGCGAGTATTGTCATTATTGGGCTGAACGATCTGTTTAAGATGCTGTGAAGTGTTTGGGTCAGTGGCTGTGTGTTTGACAGATGCTTTAATTCCTCCGTCCCTCATTTCTGCTGGAGTTTGTGACCCTGCTGACCACTACTCCATGAATATTCCCCCTCTCTCTGGCTGATAGCCCAGTGTTTAATTCGGAGGATAACTCATCTGGTTGCTCTGGAGTCGCTGGATTAAATTGGAAAGTCCTTTTCCGTTTTTGCCAGCTGTTAATCCCTCCTCATTTGCATAACATTACTGCCATTAGTCAGGCAGGAGTAGAGCGTGTGACGGCCAGCAGCGATCATACCTCGTAAATGCAATATTCAGGGCGTTATGATGTTGATATGACAAATATAATTAAATCGTTTTGGTCATATAAAGGAATGGTTTAGCCAAAAATGAGAATTTGCTGAAAATGTACTCCCCCTCAGGGCATCCAAGATGTAGATGAGTTCGATTCTTCATCAGATTTGGAGAAATGTAGCATTGCATCACTTGCTCAGCAATGGATGCTCTGCAGTGAATGGGTGCCGTCAGAATGAGAGTCCAAACAGCTGATAAAAACATCACAATAATCCACAAGTGATCCACACCACTCCAGTCCAGCAGTTAACAGTGTGTGAAGCCAAAAGCTGCGTGTTTGTAAGAAACAAATCCATCAAGACATTATTTTTAACTTCAAATTGTCGCTTCCGGTTCAAATTTGAGTCCATAATCCATAATAAAGCTTCCTCTAGTGAAAAAGTCCATCTCCTTTTCTCCTCTCACATCAAAATCCACCCACATATTTGTTTAGAGTTGTTTTGGCTTGTAAACGGTGCTTGATCTGTGCAGATTTCTCTCCTGATTTAGACCAGACAACTTTTTCACTGGAGAAAGCAATATTATGAATAGAGGACTCGTATTTTAGCCGGAAAATATTGAAAAATTATTAATTTGTTTCTTACAAACACACAGATTTCACTTCTCCAGATGTTAACTGATGGACTGGAGTGGTGTGGATTACTTGTGGATTATTGTGATGTTTTTATCAGCTGTTTGGACTCTCATTCTGACGGCACCCATTCACTGCTGAGCATCCATTGCTGAGCAACTATGCTACATTTCTCCAAATCTGATGAAGAAACAAACTCATCTACATCGGACGAAATAGGGTGGACATTATTATTCCTAAAAAAAACAACCTGTTTAATTGTAAGTGTGAGAGACCGCTTTAAGTGTTCCATATAACTAAGACCACCACCATTAATCATTCAGCGCAGTTTTATTGGTGCATTGTCAGTTATTTGTGCACTTCATATTTGATGCTGTTGCTGTTTTGTATCTAAATTTTCCCTCAGAGATCAGTGAAAGAATTTTCTCCCTACACCATTTTTAGGTTTACTTTGCTAATTAGCCTGAATTTTCACTCTGCAGTGCTTTTAGTTTGCTATATTTCGTTATTAGCCGTTTGGACGCTGAAATCTCGGCAGCTCTTAACGTAATGACTTTGTGGGCGGAGTGCAGAACACACGTCTCAGCAGAAGTGGGAAAGGAGAAAACATCGTTTCAGAGTGCTGTACATCACCAGCCAACCTCTCCTTCACTCTCGCTCGCTCTTTGTCTTATCCAGCTGTAAAAGGGCAGATTTATGTGCACATTAATTCTGCTCTTTCATAAGGACACAGAAGATGCTGTCAGATTTTCTGCACGGCCTTTGCCTGTGAAAGCAAACCATTCACAACAAATAATGTCCACTGAGTGAATCCAATCAAACCTGTCAACAACATGACTTCAAAATCAAAAGAAGGAAAGAAAGAAGGGACTTGTTCACAGAAAATGAAGCTTATTTTATGGATCATTACTTTTTTTGCAATTGTAACATTGTTTTCATGACAATTAAGCAGCACATTTTCCTCCACTGCTCTCATTACTCTAATGTGAAAAAACCCAAAAATATTATATTTAATTTGAACAATTCAGTGCAAAGAATTATTGTGCTTCATTGCATTGCAAATATATAAATGCAAAATCTTTTCTTTTATGTTTCTTTTCATTTTGGGGTGAAATGCGGCATGCCATACATGCTCTTCACAGTTTTGGTTTTGTGAGATTCACCCTGTTAGTCTTAACAGGGACAGATTGAAAACACTGTGTGGGCTTCGCATGTGCGCTATAATTAGTGAAATTAATATCAGCATGATATCTTTTTTTTTTTTTCAAATACCACAATATTATGATTTTTCCGAACACCAGCTGACCGAGGCATCTGTGCTTTTAGGAGTGTTTTGTTATTAGTGGAGTTCTTGAACTATAGAGCATGTAGATGAATCTGATTTAGAAATAAGTCTTTAAAGAGTGCAGTTGGTCTTTTAGTCACCATTAAAACCATTAAGTCAAGAATAAAAAAAAAAACTACTTGAAGTAAAATAAAATGTAAAAACTTATTTTATTTCAGCTCGCTGCCAAAGCAACATTTCTTAATTTCATTTAGTTTAACTTGATTTACTAAAATAAAAATAAAAATAAAATAAAATAAAAATGACAAAAACATACAACAAAACTAACTAACTAAACTTAAAACAATTAAAATGAAAATGGAAAATACTAAAATACTAAATAAAAATATTACTAAAATTATAAAAATAAATAATAATAACAAAATTAATAATTAATATTATTAAAAAATATACTAAATAACACTGCCTCTTATTGCAAAAGTACTGCAACTATAAGCCAGTCTGAAGCAAATACATAAATATTTAGAGAAATATCTAATGAGTCTCCAAAATATCAAAATTTCATATTTCTTACATACATGATGCTGATCTTTCCCAAAGTTGCAGTGTTTTTCTTGGTAGTTACTCTAATGAGCACAGGTTATCCTGAAAACTGCAATAATATAGATTTCTATTCACAGCAGTAGCATGCATATCGACTGCTGTGATCACTGCGAACGCTCATTTTTCTTCTAAGACCTTCATTGATTTGAGAAAAACATTGATTGTGCATATTCTTGCTGTCAATTCTCTCTTTTTCACAGAAACTGCATGTGCTCAGAAAGACCCTGCAAGCGTTGATCTATCCCATCTCCTCCACCACACCCCATAATTTCGAGGTGTGGACGGCCACGGCACCCACCTACTGTCACGAGTGTGAGGGTCTGCTGTGGGGCATCGCTCGGCAGGGCATGCGCTGCACCGAATGCGGGGTCAAATGCCATGAGAAATGCCAGGACCTCCTGAACGCAGACTGTCTCCAACGTGAGTTTAGCCCTTTTTACCTGATTTCAGTGCTGATTAAATAAGCAAGATGGAGAAGGTCAAATCCATCTTTAAAAGTGCAGTTGGTCTTTTAGTCACCATTAAAAGTCAAGGATCACCATTACTTTTGCATTAAAATGAGTGTAAAAGATGTACAGTGGATGTACATTCTTAGCTAAAAACCAGTCCCACCAAGATTTCACTTTTTGTTTTTTATTTCAAAATGACAATTTTTGTGGCTGTAATTTTACAGAATTTTGTGGAAAAAAACCGAAACAAAACAGAAATCTTGTTTATTTGGTGTCTCATCAAATTCTGACACACAACTTTTAAAAACGTTTTAAAGATATAAAAAAGAAGAACTAAGAAGCAAATTACAAACAGTAGGACAAAGAAACAAATTAAATAAAGAGAAATAGAGAAAAGTTCAATTAAAGTTAAATAAACGTTTTTCAGGTAGGTTTAGTATTCAAATGGAAGGTTGTGTCCGCCACCAGAAAAAAAAAAAGCTAATTGCAACTTTTTAACTCACAATTCTGAATTTTTTCCCAGAATTGCAAAAAAAAAAGAAGTCTGAATTGTGAGATAAAAATTTCCAATTACCTTTTTTACTCGGATAAACTCAGAATTCCAATACATAAACAGAATTGCAAAATATAAATGCAGAATTGCAAGATAAAAACTACCAGTTCTGAGAAAAAAAAGTCAGAATTGTGTCAAAATTTTTAATTTTTTTTATTCCATGGAAAATTGCAGGTTGTAAACTCAAATTTAGAGAAAAAAGTCAGAATTGCGAGAAAGTTTGAGATATAAATCGGAGATATAAATTGTGAGAATTGCGAGCAAAAAAGTCCAAATTGTGAGATCAAAAGTTGGATTTACCTCTTTTTATTTTTATTCTGTGGCAGAAGCAGGCTTCCATACAAAATACTTACAAAATACTGCAGAAATGAAATAATCAAATGTAAAATAAAACACATTACTATATTAATTGAATACACCGATCCTTATTAAAGCTCTTTGTCTTTTGTTGTTTGATTAACATTAAGAACACAGATTAGTCATCAGACTAACATCATGCATATCTTAGTAGCACTGTGCTTTTTTATACATTTGCAGTTATTGGTGAATTATGCATGAATTATGCAAAAAATTTGACAATTTGGTGATTTTGTGTCGTGTTCCACAATCACTGAATCGTGAAAACCTACAGAGACTGAAAAACACTCCACAGCTACGCTTTCGCATTGTAACAGTGAGTTTTGCATGGGCGAACACTCATTTTTCTTCAGAAAATGTAAGTCTGCTTTATCACGCTGCAAGCCCATAAGCAGTGTTCATCATTTTGAAATGCCTTTGTCTGTCCGTCACATCGCATGGCAGCTCTCAGCTCTGACGGTTTGCTTTCGGCAGCTGTTTGTTTTATTGTTTCTCTGTTCTGCCATTTAAACAAGTTCTGCACTAACAGAATAACCATTTTCGCTACGGTAAGACTCAAGTGTGCAGGGCAGTGCTCTCAGACGAGCGCTAATGTCACGCTGTGGCTGAGATATATGTGAAGGTGTTCCCTAGTAAACCTCACAGACGTGGCCATCTGCCAAAGACACAAATGGGCCTGTACAGAGAGAGATTTATTACACGAGCCATCAAACCCATCATATTTAGTGTGTTTAAATACGCATTTGGTTTGGCTTGTATGGTTTGTGAAAGGAAAGACCACCACCGTTTTCAGGTCACATTTGGGGCGAGACACCAGTAAACTTTCTCTTTCAGTCATGCTGTTTTATTCCTTATATGCAGCGCCTCTTGAACACTCTTATAAAGCTTTTGCAAGGTATTTATGTTGCTTCTCTGAATGAATTATTAATTTTAATAGAGTGCCGAGAGATACATTTTTCAAACAGCAGTGAGTCATCTGTACTCCACGAAGTCATCTAGAGATGTGCAATACTACATACACTTCAAAATCTACTAGACTAAGTGGCTGTTAGATCTTAAAGGGACCATGTAGAGCGACACCGGTGGCCATTAAGTGAACTGCAGTCGATATGGTTAAGTTATTTTTTGCTCCTCACTTAGAAGTAATATTTGAGACTATAGACTATATGTGACCCTGGACCACAAAACCAGTCACAAGGGTCATTTTTTCAAAATTGAATAAATAAGCTTTCCATTGATGTATGGTTTGTTAGGATAGGACAATATCTGGTCGAGATACAACTATTTGAAAATCTGGAATCTGAGGGTGCAAAAAAATTAAAATATTGAGAAAATCGCCTTTAAAGTTGTCCAAATGAAGTTCTTAGCAATGCATATTACTAATCAAAAATTAAGTTTTAATATATTTACAGTAGGAAATTTACAAAATATCTTCATGGAAGATGATCTTTACTTAATATCCTAATGATTTTTGGCATAAAAGAAAAATCAATAATTTTGACCCATACAATGTTTTTTTGGCTATTGCTACAAATATACCCCAGCGACTTAAGATGGGTTTTGTGCTCCAGGATCACATATGTGAGACTATAGTATGAATAAATCCCTTTTCTTTGCATGACACATTGACATTACAGTACAGAATGACCATTTCGGCATTAACCTGAACACTGTAAGCATTCATTTCATATGAGAGGCTCTCGGGAACTCGTGTAAACGTCACATCCTTTTGATTTTGACAACCTAGGAAGTTGGGGAAGATCTTGTTTTTTAAGTTTCATTACAAGCTGAAGCTGTTCACACATTGGCAATAATAATAAAAAAAAAGATTAATACATGTATTTTTACATTTAGCCCCCAAAACATTATATGCGTCAACTCTTCACTTTCAAAGTGAAATGTCCAGTGAGTTGCATTAAAGGTGCATTCAGTTTTATCTGAAACAGATGAATGTGAATCTGGCAACATTTTCTTACGTTGGTTGTTGTACGTATCGCGAAATGAAATGCTCGGTGAGTGGTGCTAAAAAGTTATTCCTCTATTGCAAAATAACACAGCACTTACACTAAACCTAAAAACAATAGTGTTAACAAAAGCAAATGTGAGTTAAAAATGCATTTGCTGTAGCAACCATGCCATTTTAGCTTGCTTCTACAAGCCTTTGAACTCTTTTATCATGTTTTATGAGACTCGAGAGCTCCACATAGCCAGTGCAATGCTATACCGGGTGCGCTGCTGAGCAGGTTTACTACGCCAGAAAAGCCATACATATGGAGCTAGTTATGTGATGCAAACATCAAAATGTAATAGTTTACAAATCATGCACTATGGCAAAAGCATTTAGAGGTTATAACATAGTATTATACAAGGAACCATGCAAAAATAAGTCTATTAATTGATCATTTGTGTGAAAACGAAACCTTTTGGAGTTTTCCAAAAATTTAGATACGCTTATTTACACAGAAATAATCCAAATCCGGTAGAAATAATACACCATCCACAATGTATTTTCAATGTACTGTAATTTAGGATGCATTTTCTATATGTGTGCAAGTTGGAATCACAGCTCATATCAGCAGTGATCATGTAAGAACACATGTAAATCACGCTACAGGTGCTGTAGAGAAGAGCTCGAAACATGGAGCCGAAGACAAAACCCAAAACATCATCATGGCCATGAAGGAACGGATGAAAATCAGGGAGAAGAACCGGCCCGAGGTGTTCGAGGTAATCCAGGAGATGTTTCAGCTCTCGAAGGAAGATTTCAACACTCACCTGAAGACGGCCAAACAGGCTGTGCTGGAGGGGACATCCAAGTGGTCTGCCAAAATCACCATCACAGGTGAGTAATGAGTGAATCTCATTATAAAATTATGTTTACTATACATTATTGTCAATTATAAATTATACAATTATTATTATTGTAAAATTACTATATGATATTGTTTTATTTTATGTATAATTTGTAAAATAAAAAAATATGAAATATTTCTCTTTTTTTATTTTTGGAATTTTTTTATTGTATTATATATTAATTTGTATTTATTAATTCATTCATCATATTCATTATTTGTATTTATATTTTATATTCACATAATAAATTGTATGTAATATATGAAATAAAAGGTCTGAGCATGTCCTTAAAAAGTTTCATTTCATTTTATATTAAAGTATTATAATTTATATATATATATAGTCTAATGGTCTGAGCTGGCAGAAAACAAGCAAAACTCTCGGCACATTACCCAAACTAAACTGAGCAGCATTTCCTCGCTGTAGGGTCTGTTCCAGTCATAGACACATGGATGCACAGACAGACATTAAGAGTGAATCTCATGAAACTTGTCAAGAACACCAACAACTAAAAACAAAAATAATAATAATAAACAAACAAATATTTAATATAAAATCGGTATGAAATGTTACATTAAATATAATTATATAATATAGTAAAATAATAATAATTTTATAATAATCATATTAAATAAATCATTAAAATAAAAATATATATATATAATTTTTATTTTAATGATTTATTTAATATGATTATTATAAAATTATTATTATTTTACTATATTATATAATTATATTTAATGTAACATTTCATACCGATTTTATATTAAATATTTGTTTGTTTATTATTATTATTTTTGTTTTTAGTTGTTGGTGTTCTTGACAAGTTTCATGAGATTCACTCTTAATGTCTGTCTGTGCATCCATGTGTCTATGACTGGAACAGACCCTACAGCGAGGAAATGCTGCTCAGTTTAGTTTGGGTAATGTGCCGAGAGTTTTGCTTGTTTTCTGCCAGCTCAGACCATTAGACGACAGCAACCATCTGCTGTGGACAGAAACGTAGGCCGTCGCAGCCTTTTCTCTGAGTCGTTAAGAACAGTTTCTGTCCATCTGCAGATGTACATTCTCGCATTGCTTTGTTTCAGTCATATTTTGTCTCCCAGAAGCCGCTGTATTAGTTCAGCTGTCTGCCAGGTAAAGTTGGCTCCTGTGTGTGTCCGTATCAGTGATACTCCTTCACCTGACTTTGAGGGTCAACAGAGGCTGTGAATTATTGCCAAGCTTGCAACGCTGCCAGAGTGTCAATAGAACACAGAGACAAAAACAGCTCTCTGCTTTAATTCATCCAGGCCGACGAACGAATCTTCCGTTTTGGAAAGTATTCATACACTGATTTATTTATCAAGGGTTTCATAAACACTGGCTTCTGTGAATTCTGATGCAACATGCACTGATTTATCAACCAGGTGACCATACACTGCAAAAAAATATTTTCTTAGTATTTATTTGTGTCTTGTTTTCCAGTCATTCTTAAAATGAATATCATGCTTAATACATTTTCCTCGAGAAGCAAAATTTCATTTAATATTAAGACTTATTTTCAGAGAATCTACTTGAATTATATTTATTTTATTATATATTAAAAAATGTAACTTCTTTTCTTGAATAGATTCATTTTTCTTACCCGTTGACCAATATCTTTTTTCTTTTTTAATTAAAATCAATAAAAAATTTCTGCCACAGCATTAAAAAATATATATAGGCAATTGCAACTTTATATTTCACAATTCTTTTTTTTCTCTCGCAATTGCAAATATATTCGGATGTTATATCTCACAATTCTGAGAATATAAACTGAGAATTGCAAGATTTAATTTCTCTTAATTGTGAGTTTACATCTTGCAATTCTGTTTTTTGTTTTTTTTTAGTTAAAATTTTTTTTTAAAGGCAATTGTGTTAATTTATCTCTCAATTCTGAGTTTACATCTTGCAATTCTGACTTTTTTCCTTAGAATTGTGAGATAAAAAGAAACAAACTTCCATAGATTATGCTTAATTTGCCAATGGGGTAAGAAAAATAAACCTAATTCAATATATATTAAAAAAAAAAGTACTTCCAAAGTATTTTTGCTTTCTCAAGTATGTTTATCATGTTTAAAGAATCTTCAGAAGCACAAACATACTCATTAAGAAGATGTTTTTTTTTTTTTTTTTTTCTTTACAGAGTTAGATT